AAGCTATATGAATGTCATTTCTGTCTGTTATAGGACCCAAGCCGTAGGCTTGACTCTTGAGATCCCAAATGACTAGATTCAGTTGCTCACTCAGTTGCCCATTCCCTTGAGCCTAAGAGAATGATAAAATATAAAACAAGCAAGCAAACAAGCAAAAACGTTTTCGTATTTTGACCAAACCAGGAAGGAAGTTAGTCTATCTTCTTGGAAGCCACAGGAAGGTTTTGATTTATAGGAGGAGTCATTCATATAGAAAATAATTCAAGCAATATCCATATGCAAATTCAGCCAGGCTGTGGGCTCTAGTTGAGCAGAGAGATATGCTGTAATTGTTTCTTTTGGATTCTTTGGCACCCTGGCATGGGTGCCAGGACTTTGGGGTTAATTCCATTCAGCTTTTGTTCTCTGCATGAGAAGATTGCCTCTGGGGAACTACTATGGAGAAATAGCTTAGAAGGACAATGGCACAGACAGAGAAGAAAGTATATGAGGCTTCATTAAATTCCTAATTTTAAAGGAGTTCCATTACATAGCTTTCAAAATATTGTTTTTGTTTTTGAGAGCACACAGGCTCTGCATGCTATGCCTGCCCTTATCAGATGCGCTGCAGCATTGCCACGTGTTTCCAGAACTATTCTGATATTCTGTGTGACCCTGGTGCCTCTTTTGCACTCTTATGAATGTAGGCTCTATTGAGAATCTTCCAGAAACATGACAGCAGCTTCTCATCAACAGGTGCAACTTCCTTAGAAACTTTCCTGTTTTCAGTCTATACCCATTCTTGAATTTACACAGCCAACCCTAACTTGTGTTGCTCATTTCAGAGACTCCTTTGCTGAAGCCTGTATGTGGCTCAGTGCTTTTGCACTTGGTGATAACATGTTTTCTGTTCCTGTCTTCCGTTAAAAAATGTAATGTCTTTTCTATCTTAACACATGCATATACTGTGGCTATAGTTGTTGCAATTTGAGATGCGACAGCAAAGCTAGCACAAATGTTCTTCACACTATCACAAATAGAAGATATGTTCTCACTGTAGAGTTCAGCAACATGAGGATAAGATTGTTTTCTTTCTTTTAAATTGAAAATTGTGACCTTTTTAATCAATGGAAGCACCTTCCAACTTCTCTTTGGCATATTCACATTGATATATCACTACTGGTGTCCTTTGGGGCATTATTAAGTAAAATAAAGGTTGCTTGAACATCAGCACTGCATCTTGGTGACAGTTGATCTGATAACCAAGAAGGCTGTTAAGTGACTGGGGATGGAGGTACAGTGTATACAGGATATGCTGAACAAAACCATTCATGTCCTAGTCAGGATTCTATCACACTATTCAGAATGGTGTGCAGTTTAAGACTTATGAATTGCTTTTTTCTGGAAATTTCCATGTAATATTTTCAGACCACAAAATTGTAGAAAGCAAAACCACAAATAGAGGGGAACTAGTGTAGTTTTCAACCATTCCTTATTTTGAGTACCCAGTTGATTACCTCTTTAACTCTTTTGCTTCAGGACAAAATATCCTTTTGAGGATATGATTTTTCTATAATGACTTCTTGCCTAAGTAGAAGATAGCATTGTATGATTAGCTTTGCACATCTGTCCTACAGATTATTTGCCTGTTTTGAAACTTGTCTTTCAGAGATTTATTCTGGAGGGAAGCTGTCATCTGGACTTACCTGTACTTCTTAGTTTCCTCACCTGAAAAATAGGCAGGATAGCAAGTTATTTCATGGGATTTCTGTGAAAATTAGGTAGGTCATTACATGCTTAGCACTTAGAATGCTGCCTGATAATAAATATTGGTGCTACTTTTTGTTTTTATTCTGCTTCTTATCAACTTATTTGTTTGGGTTTGGTTTTGGTTTCCTGGGGACGCCTCAGACACAGATGAATGAATTGTCTGTGTACACTGTCTGTCTCCCTTTTAATTGTAAGCAGAACTTGGCATATTATCTTAGGAAAATGTGATAAATATTACTACATTTAAAAAATAGTAGCAGGAGCTTCCTGCTGCTAAAAAAGATACTAGAACAAACAAAAGATCTATGTCTCAGCCATGTGTACGTGTGTGTGTGTGTGTATGTACATATATACTTTTAAAATATGAACGGGGGATGGAAAGATGGCTCAGGGGTTAAGAATACTGGCTTCTCTTGCAGAGAACCCAGGTTTGATTCCCAGCACCCACATGGCAGCTAACAACTGTCTGTAACTCCAGTTCCAGAGGAATTTGATGCCTGCTTCTAACCTCCACAGGCATTACATGACAAAGGTGCACTTACATACATGCAGCCAATACATTCATAGACATAAAATAAAATAATAGCTATTTAAAATATGAGGGGGTAAGGGAGGTGTACAGTGTATTTTTTCAGTCGTTGCTCCCACATCAGAAACTAAAACCTCAGAACCCAAAGACAATCCTTATGCACCCTATATATTCATGCCTTCCATTTTCTTTCATTTTTCATAATAACTGATATTTATTATGCGCTCTTTTGAATTTGTTTCTACCAGTACTAAGAGCAGGCTGTGAACACAGTAATGACAGAGAAGAGCATAGTGCATGAACCAAAAGGTCTAACATTTAGTTCTGACTCTCCTTTGCTGCCTGTCCTTCATTAAGTCACTTAAACTTTCCTCATCTGTAACAATTCTCAAAAAATATGCTTATTTGTGAACTCTGAAGCCCTAATGGAATGTAAAGTAACAGTATTATTATTGCCAATGATAATATTAAACATTAAGAGGGTGACAGAAATCCTCTAAGGCCTTGACTTCAGCGATGGAAGAGATTAGGTATGGAAGTTAAGAGAACTAAATACAAATAGGGCAAATTCAAGAGACTTGTATCAGGGCTTAATTACCTCTCTGCATAAATTGTTACATATGTTAGTTTCTTGAAATACAAAGGTTGCTATGTGGATTAAATTGGAGACTATGTACATGTACATAAAGTACCTACTAAAAGACCAATACCCAGGAAACACATCTTCATTTAACAGCTGTACAATTTCCTACTAGTTTCCTTATTGTAAAAGTAGAATAAATAATAGGGGGCTGGAGAGATGGCTCAGCAGTTAAGAGCACTGGCTGCTCTTGCAGAGGACCCAGGTTTGATTCCCAGCACCTACATGGTGGCTAACAACCATTTGTAACTCCATGTCCAGGGAATCTGACACCCTCTCTGACCTCCATGGGCATTGGATGACATGGGTGCACTTACATACATGCAGGGAATGCACTCATACACATAAAATAAAAATAATAAATAAAATATTTTTAAGTAGAATAGTAATTTTCAGGTCCCAAGAATTTTGTACCACTCTCAGCACATTCAGAAGATACAACATCTGTTGCATGGTATTCAGTGTTAGCAGCAGTAGCCTCAGGAGTGGCAGCAGCAGCGTCAGCCTTGTGCCTGGCAGAGGGTAATGTGCAGCTAGAAATAAAGAGAAATGAATGTGAAGAGTTAGGTAGAACATATTTAAAGAGTTGAAAATTTTATCTTGAAAGTAGTATAAACCATTAAAGTAAGCCAAAGGCAGTATTATCAGATTTGTGACTTAGAAAGTTCCTTCTGAACTTCAGAAAGTATATTGTTGTAAAGTAACAGCAAGAAGCAGGGAAGCAGTGGTACGGTTTCATGTGGGAAATGCTATTTGTTTGAAGGGTGAACATGGTGATAGAGATGGAGAGAAATCACAGATGTGAGAGCAATTTAGGAGTTGGATTAATGAAACCTGGTGACGGATTGTATCGGTAGAGTGAGGCATCAACAGGATGTAAAGGTGCTGATCTGGCCTTTGATCAGGATTTTTTCTCTTGGTTTTGACTCCCTAACTTTTGCGTCCCCTGGAGCTATTTTGGAAAAACTGTCTTGTCCTTTAACAATGCATCTTAATGAAACCTTTTCTAAGTTGAAAGAAGTGCAGTCTGTTACTGCATTCATTGTGATAGAGAGATTGTATAGAACCTTTGATTGTCACCTGCAAAGAAAACCTCAGTATTTTTCTCCCTCTTTATGCCATTTGCCAGACTCAAAGACAATCCCTAAGAAAACCAGTCAGAGGGCACTGGTCATGAAGGACACAAGAATGTATGTTCTATGCCTACTCTCACAACACACAGCATTAGCCTTGTGCTCACATGCCTGTCTCCTAAATAAGACCACAGGCTCCTTGTGGGCAGGATTCTATTTTCTTTCATGGCCCCCAATACCCTATAGAAGATCAGAAAACACGTTTTGAATGAAAGGTGTAAATAACAGCTTCCAGATATGAGTGAGGCATTCACTTGACTGAGAGAAGAGATTTTAGGGAAGGGTGCAGATATGTGTAGAAAATGGGAGGACTCCAGTTAGCCACCCCATCAAGTAGATGACTTACAGAAGCACCTGAATATGAAGCAAATAAAGTATCCATGACATAGAAAGAAGCACCTTTTCTACAGCTTGAAGAACAGACACCTGATTCTTAATGTTTGTACTTTACGGACAAGGAGAAGTTTGTGCAATAAACCTTTACCTGTGGCATGTATTCTTAACTACCACACTGTAAAAACAGTTGCTCAACTCCACCCCCAATTTGCTTCACAAAGGCATGTTCTTGTGGTCTACAAATAACATAAAACATCACTTTAGAAGACTACACCCAGCAAGTAGGATTTCACATTCCAAAAATTAGCAGAATGTTATCAAAGCTAAATGAGGCCAGGGGTAGGGAAGAATCGAGGAATAAACCTATCCCTAATAAAAGAAGAAAATGTTAGCCAAGAAAAGCAAACATTAAATTTAGCTCTTAGAGACCTTGGGGAAAAGATAAAAGTACTGTTGCTTAAAAACTTTTAAGGCGCTTCACATCTTAGAGGTTTTTCTTAGATTTTAGTGTGTGTATATTTTATTCATATGCACATTTACTTCAAGAAAGAGTTTCCTCAATTTTTTCTGTCTTTAAACTGTTGGTATTCATTAATATTTGTTTTATTTGCAGTGTACTCCAAAGTGTGGTCCAGGATTCAAGCATCGGATTGTTCTGTGCAAGAGCAGTGACCTTTCGAAAACATTCCCAGCTGCACAGTGTCCAGAGGAGAGCAAACCTCCAGCTCGCATCCGCTGCAGTCTGGGTCGCTGCCCTCCTCCTCGCTGGGTGACAGGAGACTGGGGCCAGGTAAGACAGCCAGACTGTGGGCTCCATCAGGAGATGCAGCCTGGAGATACAAACCTGAGTTTTCTGATTTGGTCATTGTAAGGGATTGAAAGAAAACTAAGAATTAACTTATGGAAATCTTAAGCATGAAGTCTACCTGTGAAACTACAGAGGCCATTGCTGCCACATGTGGGCATTTAAACACACAGCCACATTTCTCTAACACCTGGACACATCCCACTTCATTACTGTCTTTGTTTTTGTTATTATTTAGGGTTTTTGAGACAAAATCTCTCTTTGTAGTCCAGGCTCGCTTCAAACTCACAGTTCTCGTGTCTCAACCTCCCAATTGCTGGGATAACATCCATTTAGCACCATGTAGATTCCCATATATTTTAATTTTGCCAGCTCTTTGGAGTCTACCATTTCTAGTTCAAAATAAGAGACTCAATGGCCAGAGATATAAACAAACCACAACTGTGGGTTCCCATCCTAGTTCTCTCAATGAACTGGGTAACAAATCAGTTAATACCAGTGTCTTAATTTTCCCACTTATAAATAGGAATTCCTTCTAACTCCACAGAGAAGTTTTGGTGACCTTACTTAACATATTAATGTGACTGATAACATAAAAATACTAATACACTTCAAATGATTTTTCTCTGATGGAAACTGAATTAGAAAGCAAACACATGGAGCTTTTGGCATATGTTTTTATGTATTTTGCGTTAGATTCATTTTCATTTTATGTTCCAATTCCTAGTTCTCTTTTTTAATACAATTTTTTTAGTATTTATTTATTGTGTGTAATGTGTCTGTGAGGACCGAACTCAGGTCATCAGGCTTGACTGCAAGCACATTTACCCACCGAGTCATCTCCCATCTCCCTGGTCCTCCAATTCCTGTTTTTTTTTTTCCCTTCTTTCCTTTCATCCCTCCCTCCACCCCCCTTCTTTCCTTTCTTTCTTCTTTTCTTCCTTATATACTATTAATTTGTTATCTTGCTATAGACCACATGAAATTCTATAAAAATAGATCAGTTCTCACCACATAAATAAGTATGTGTAATAAATGCCTATATTGGGACTAAAGAGATGACTTAGAGTTTAAGAGCATTGGCTGATCTTGCAGAGGACCCAGTTCCCAGCATCCACATGGTAGCTAACAACTATCCCTAGCTCTAGTTCAGGGGATCTAGCACCCACACATACATGGTACATTTACATTCATGCAGGCAAAAACATTCATAAAATAAAATAAATATAACCCAATTAGTTAAAATGTATATATTAATTATCTAGATTTAGTCAATGAGTGATTTTATCAGTCAAGCAAAAAATATATTATTTAAGGAGCTGAAGAGATGGCTCAGCTGTTAAGCACTGGCTGCTCTTGTAAAGGAGCTGGGCTTGATTCCCAGCATCCATATGGTGGCTAACAACTGTCCCTAACTCCAGTTCCAGGTGGTCTGACACCCTCTTCTGATCTCGCGGGCATTGCACGACACAGGTACACTTCCATTCATGCAGTCAATACACTCATACACATAAAATACAAAAAATAAATAAAAAATATTTTTTAAAATATTGTTTAAAAGAAAACCATATTGGTATGTTTTTCATAAAAAGAAAATTAGTCCTATTCTTCTAAATGTCAGAGAGGAAGTACATGAACCTACATTCAAGAAGATGCACAGCTGTGCGTGGTCACTCCTACCTATAACCCCAGCATTTGGGAGGCTAAGGCAGGAGTCTCTTGAGTTTAAGGCCAGCCTGGCTGTAGTGTGACTCTAACTTTAATAACAATAGTAGTATTACAGAAAATAAATTGCTAGGGGCTGGCAAGGTGTCTCATTTGGTAAAGTGCTTGCCATGTAAGCATGTGAACCATACTTTGGATCCCCAGCACCCAAATAAAATTCAAGTGTGGTGGTGTACACCTGCAACCTCAGTGTGGGGAGATTTGGAGACAGAAGGATACCTGGGGCTTCCTGGTCAGCCAGTCTAGCCAAATCAGTGAGCTCCAGGCTTAATGAGAGAGTCTGCCTCAAAAAATAAGTAGAGAGGGGCAGGAGATATGGCTCAGTGTTAAGAGTGCTGGCTGCTCTTACAGACAACCCAGGTTCTAGTCCCAGCTGCCACATGGCAGCTAACAACCATCTGTAACTCCAGTTCTAGGGGATCTGATGCCCTCTTCTGACCTCCTTGAACATTGTACAGCATGGGTACACTTACATGCAGACAATACACTCACACACATAAAATAAAAAATAATAATTAAAATATTTAAACAATAAAGTAGAGAACAACTGAGAAAGCTACCCAACCTTGACTTCTGGCCTCCACATGCATACCCACATGTGCACATGCAACCTAACACACACATATGCACACAAACACATATATCATAGACATACAAAAAAGAAAGTGGATTTCTAGTTAGCCAGTGCTTGTGGAGCATAGCAGTACTTTTTGCTTCATTTGGAAGATGTTCATAACATTAAGATGGATAAATATACTTACTTTGTGCTTAGTCGTATGGAAAGCTAAAGCTTTTATCTCTATAAAAGTATATAGCTTAATTTACAAATGCTCAAATGGAGCATATCTGATAAAATTAAACATTATATATGGTTATCAAAAAATGTTTCGCCAGGCGTGATGGCACATGCCTTTAATCCCAGCACTCAGGAGGCAGAAGCAGGCGGATCTCTGTGAGTTCAAGGCCACCCTGGTCTACATGGTGCTGCATACCTATAATCCCAGTATCAGGCAGCAGAAGCTGGAGGAGCTCTGTGAGACTGAGGCTAGCCTGGGATGGTCTACATAGCAAGTTCCAAGCCAGTTGGGGCTACATAGTGGGACCCTGTATCAAAACAAAACAAACAAACAAAATAAATTTTGCTGAGAGTTTCACAGTACATAATTGATATACTATTGAAGAATCTATACAGACATGCTGTTGTGAGTTTTATTTGAAATCAGTAGTCATTACCTTTCTGTAGCAGAAAAGACACAGAGATATGCTTACTGGCCAAGACAGACCACTTCTCAAGGTATGTGGCTGATAATTCCTTAAGAATTAAAAAACATTCAAGCTCTTTTTATTATTATTATTTATTATTATTATTATTAAATGTGAGATGTGTATGTACGGTGTGTGTGCACACATGTGTGCCACAATAAGGATCTGAAGATCACAGGACAACTTTGTGGAGTTAATTCTCTCCTACCTTCATATGGGTTCCAAGGATCAAACTCAGGTTGTCAGGCTTGAGGGGCAAGAGCTTTTACTTGCTGAGCCATCTCATGGGCCCCTCAAGCTCTTTTTAACTAAGGCATCAGTCGACCCCAGTCATCGCTGCTATACAGAATGTTCAATGGGCCACCAGGTTCTTTACCTGAATATCTGTAGTAAACAGGGGTCCAAAGTGATCTTCCAGCCCAAGAATCTTTGACTATTCTACTTTCTCACTAGGGTTTTCTCATTACTTTTTTATTGATTTCACCAGCCTTGTTTGGAATAGTTAGTGATAGCCAAAGAAATGACCATTTATTATCTGCCGAGTCCTATATATTGCTTCTGTTTTCTATGGCAATAATATGATCTTTAAGTTTTGAAAATGATTCCATAGTAAAATGACTCAATCATATACCTCTGAAGAATGAACCAATTATATGATTTAAAAGTTAACATGTACAATAGTTGAAATGGTATCTTTCCTACCTACTGAACACTTGAAATCAATATTTGGTTCCTCTGTATCTTTGTCTTTAGTGCTCTGCTCAGTGTGGCCTTGGACAGCAAATGCGAACTGTGCAGTGTCTCTCCTATACTGGCCAGGCATCTGTTGACTGTCCAGAAACTGTCCGGCCTCCATCAATGCAACAGTGTGAAAGTAAATGTGACAGTAGTCCCATCTCCAGTACCGAAGGTGAGTATCTTGTAGAAGGAGGCCTCAGTCTCTACAACTAATCTCTACGGCCCTCCGTGTTTGAAGGGTCCCGTAGCCCATGGTTAGAGTACAGTTTGTTTAGAGCATTTGTGAAAGCTACTATTCATGCTGCCCTGTAATCAAGAAGCTTAAGTTTTAACCTGATTCTGCTACTACATATTTAACGCTGTTGAGTCACTCAGCCTCTCTAGAGCTAAATCCCTCTATGTATAAAATGAGAGGTCAGAGTAGATAATCCCCAAGGTCATGCCCAATTTAGTGTTCTGTTTGACTTACCTGAATTCTAGAGATGATTTTTAAAGAACCACTTTTCAAAAGTGAAAGCTGTTAGCCTGGCATGGTTGCTTATACCTGTTTCTCATCCCAGGGCTTGGCAGGCTGATGCAGATAGGTTGTCACAAACTCACGGCCAACCTGGGCTACAGCCTCTTTTTTGAGACCCTGTCTCAAAAAAGCCAAACAAGCTGGAGAGATGGCTCAGTGATTAAAAGCACTAACTGCTCTTCTAGACACTCTGGGTTTGGTTCCCACCACCCACACCATGGCTAACTCTTGTGCTTAACTCCAGTTTCACAGCATCCAATGCCCTCTTCTGGACGCCCAGCAAGAACCAGACTCACATGTGGTATACTTGCATACATTCAAGCATAACAGTCATACATATAAAATATAATAATTTTTTTAAAAGACAAACAACTGAACACAAAAGGGCAGTTGCACATGTGAACCCACAATGCTTGTGATAGCATGTACAAGATCTATGCAAGCCCAAGCCAGACCAAAACCCAACATGAAGAGGCGAGGTGTCAAGAAGCCTCTAGCTGAGGAACTATTGGTGATCGATAGCTGCTGGGAGGAAAGTCCGCTTTCTTTAAGGGTGTGATTCCTGGTAAGTTGACGAGGCTCTAAGGGATGGACCCATACCCAAAAGCGTTTGGGCAACACAGATTAGATTAGATAAACTTTTATAACAGAAAACAGTAATAGAGGACATGAGGGGGCAGTGAGGTAGTGGTGAAGATAGGGGAAGAGGGCTGAATATGATCAAAATGTGTTGTGAAATTCCCAAAGAATCAGTAAAAATACCTTTTAAAAGCCAAACAAAACAAACAAGAACAGTGAAAACTGTTGTTTCTTTTTGAATACGACAGTGAATTTTACAATCATAGAGCATCAATTAATTCTTGTTATACATATAATGAAAGCATGTGTTTTAAGTGCTATGTGTTTTGAATGATACCGTGTTTACTACTACCTAAACTTGTAATTTGGGTATTTGAATGGTCACAAATGGTACCTTATATGAGGTACCAGAAATTATCAGGAATATAGAGCTAAGTGTGGCATAGTCAGGAATTTCAGGCTGTCTTTTTATATAAAATAGGGGCATGATCAGTTACATGCTCATGAACAGTATCTGAAGCCATGGATTAAAATGACTTAAGAGACATGGCTATATGGCCTAGCTTCAAAAAACAAAGTCTATCAAAAACATAAAATCCAATAATTTGTTGATATTTTTCAAATGAAAATGAGATGCTTATAAACCTCTTCAAAATATATCTGTTTCTTTTAGTCAGCCTTATCCAGTTTGAAGGATGTTTTAAAAAATATGTTCATTATTTTAAAGTTTCCCTAGAATTTTTGTTTTGAGAACAACAATCATGTTGTGTGACAGTATACAGAGGCCTCGCATGTTTGACCAAGGTCTGTTTTTCTATATCTAAACCTCAACACAATACATTTATTGTAATGTATATGACTTTTTCAGAATACTGTAGCCTTATCCCAATTAATTTAAAGTCACAATTTCAATGCGCAAAATGTCTAGTTCTAATACTATCTACTTTATTGTTGTTGCTCCTGTGAAAAGGTAAATTCTGGAAATTTAACTTTCTCTCTCTTGAAAAGAGTTCAAATTCATAACAAATAAGAGTAGTTTTCTTGGAAAAATATGTCTTTTAGATGTTCTAAATAAGAACATCTCACTTCTATGAGGCTATGACCAAACACTTTAATTCACTGTAAGTTATTAGCAATTATACTCAGATTTAGGAGTTTTTGGTTGTTTGTTTTTTAGAATTGGAAGATACAGGATTAAGTGGGAGAGAGAATACAATTATTACATTAAACTACTCTATGTTGGGAGTTAGATTTGACCCTTTTTATCTATTCTATTTATGTCATCCACATAAATACATCTTTCAGTATGTATATGTCTGTATAATATACAATTCTGACAATAGTCTTCTAAGACTTGTTATTCCCATAAGGAAACTGAGGCATCAAGGTACAAAGGATGGTGATTCACCCAGATTGCAAGTAGTAAACACCAGAAGGCAGGATTTGAACATGGATTTGGCAGAACACTAAAGCATCTCAATTATCACTAAATTTACATGCTTTTCTTTTTTCTTGAGAAAGAGTGTTGCTATACAGTCCAGTCCAGACTGTCCTTGGCCTCATGATCCTTCTGCCTTGGGCTCCCAAACTGGGATTATAGGAGTATGCTGCCATTCCCAGCTAATCTTTTTAGCGTAAAGAGAAAGGCAGAATGTGCTATGTGAAGCAGTTTACATAAATTGGGGGCGGAGGGTGCCTTCAAATGAAGGATCAGTAACTTTAACCTTTTGGACTAGAGCAAGCTGTATAAAATGGTCTGTAGGCCAGCTGTAATATATTGTTGGAAAAACCCAGAGTGTACTCTGAAAAAAGTAGAGAAAACATTTTATCTGAATCCTAAATTACCATCCACAAAGAAAAGGTACAGGCAGATACCATGATCTTGAGAGAAAAGAGGCTTTTACATGAAAATAATGACACAAGAGTCGGGCATGGTGGCACATAACTTTAATCCCAGCACTCGAGAGGCAGCGGGTCTCTGTAAATTTAAGGTCAGCCTGGTTTACATACCAAGTTCCAGGCCAGCTGGGGCTACAGGGAGACCTTGTCTCAAAAAGAACACAAAAAGAAAAGAAAAAAGACTGACATGGCTTTTGGGAAGGCATGCTTTTAGTAAAGCTGGAAGGATGAGTTTCTGGTTAATAAGGAAGGTAGAAAGGACAACCCTTTTCCCAGGAGAATCAGATTCCCAGGACAGCCTTTTGAAAGGCTAGTTTAGCTCAACTTCTATAGAGAAGGGTTAGAGAGATCTCTTGGGATTTGTAATGCAGTCCCTCAGCAGAGTGTCTGTTAATGAAATGGTCTATACATAGAATCTTGAGATTCTTAATTAATTACCAAGGTTTAGGCAATGGTCCCTCACCTACTCAATATTTTATTATGAAAATAATGAAAAGCTTCAAACATACAGTAAAATTGACAGAGTTTTTCAATGAACACACACCATCTATACTAGACTGTTATATTAACAGTCTACTAAATCTTGTCACAGATAAAAGCCATCCTTCAAGGTGATATTTCTTATTTTTATTATTAATTTTTTTTTACTATTTCATGTATGTATACCTTACTGACTACTCTCACTTTCCACCTCCCTTCCATCCCTGCCCACCCTCCAGCCTCCCCACACATCTCTCTCGTGTTCATGTCTCTATTTGTGACCCACCAAGACTAACCAGGGCCATCTGTATGACTAGATTTGGAGCTACCCACTGGAGCCTGGTGGGTTCAGCAGAGGACATATGACTAGACAGTGATTTTTAAACAACATATCCCATTCATCCTACCATTTAATCCATTTACTTTTCCAGACATCGATACTCTGCAAGGAATACAGCAAAGTCCCTGTCCACAACGGGAGCATAGCTTAGTAGGTGTAACAATATGTAAACAAATAATTTTCACACTATAAGCAGGATTTTAATAGAGGTAAAAAGAAGCTACTTGAGTGCACCGGGATGTGTGGAATGAACAGAAGCATCCCTGAGACAGTGAGCTGGAGCTGGGCTCTCGAGGGTTCAGCAGTTCACCAAGGAGCCAATACAACATGGAGCGTTCCTGGCAGAGACAAGTATGTGCAGTCATAATGGAATTTAAGTTAGATATGTAAATAAGTAAATAAATAAATAAATTTAAAAATGGAGAGAGAGAAAGAAATGGAGAGTTTAAGCCAGCTAAAGACAGTAAGAGAAAGAGTCAGAAGTAGGACATCAAGAAATTCACATCAATTCACATTGAAAAGGGAAATAGAAAAGGGGAAAGGACCAGTAAAGTTTACTGTGCTTAACATCTGCTTTAGTTTTTTCTTTCTGAAAGTTTTTAGTGAAGGCTTAAAACATTGTAGGCATGATCCTGACAGGCTTGACAGGCTGCCACTGTGAGGGTAACACCACATTGCTGCCGAGAGTGAATTATAGGCGCACTGCATTTGAAACACTTAAGTATTTCAAGTACATATGGCAGCTGGGTCTAACCTATTCAAGCTCACCTGCAATTCTATCCCCAAATGCCATTTTATTCATTGTTCATGCAGTTTCAAATTCCCTCATAGTTTATATGGGGAGTCTTTTCAGCTTCTCAGTAGCACAAAGCACTCAGTCATCCTTATTTAGTTTTTGTTGCTGGCAGGTAATGATTCATGGTGTACCATGAGCTAGTAGTCAGCCAAAGAAAGCTGTAGGCAGCTTACACTGGTCTGTCTACCAGTCTGGAATGTCCATGGTACCAATGCTGGGTCTCAGTCTCCCTCAAATACACTGTTCTGGGAAGATGGAGGCAACCCCACAAATCCCATGCCAAAATCCCTAGAGTAATAGCTACAGAATTTAATTCTTAATGTGGTATCTGACATATTAAAATCTGTGAGAGGAAGGAGAAAGGTCATTTGAAGACTTCAATTTAAAGGAGGCTGGGAAGGCCGAGGTTTTTTCTTTGCCACTTCAAAGAGCTCATAATTCATTTAGCATTCAGGTTCACATTCCTGGCTGTCTAGTTTGGAAGGAACCTGGATTTGGGTTGGGATTATACCATCTTAAGGTTGAATGTGGGTGGCATTCGGGGAAAGACTGGAGGTGGGGAAAGAAGTGGGAGGGGAGGGAAGTAAAGAAGAGGATGGGAGGAGGGGAAAGGAAGAGGGGAAGGAATAGTCTATGGTAATATGAAATCAGAGTAAAGGTTGATGGCTGATATCACCTTACTTTGAGAACTTGCTATTTCATTCCTTGCCAGCCTAAATGTATAAAATGCCAAAAGCTCCAGTCTAGCTTCATCAGGAAGTATGCTCACCCAAGCCCCGAACCCATATGCACATGCACCTCATGCATTCTCAGTTCCTCCTGGGCTGTCCATTTCCATGGATAAGTTGTCAGAATTACAGCTGCTTATAGTTTTTTTAAAATATTTTATTTATTTATTATTTTTATTTTATGTGTATGTGTGTATTGCTCGGATCCTCTGGAATTGGAGTTACAGACAGTTGTTAGCTACCATGTGGGTGCTGGGAATCGAACCTGGGTCTTCTGCACGAACAGTCAGTGTTCTTAACTGCTGAGCCATCTCTCCAAGCCCCTGCCTACAGTTTTTTAATCCAAAAGATAAACCTTAGGTAATTATAACTCCACTCACTATGTTCTTCTGTGTCTCACAAAGAGCTTACAAGTGCAGAGGGTATACATTCGGTCTGTGTTCATTCTGTCTATACTGTATGAATGCTGAATGGTCTAACTTGGTCATGGAAAGATCAGCCCCTGGGTATTCCAACTCACTTCCATGATAGACACAGGCAAACTTTGCAACATTTGCTGAAATTAATGCAAAAGTGTTCCATTTGAGGAGTTGATCTTAAATTCCTTGGACCAAACAAAACCTTAAAAGTCACAATGAGTCTGAAACTAGTGTATCCTAAATCTATAGCGTCTGTTTAGTTTGAAAGCATGGCTTCTAGGTCAATGTTTTGAAAGATTAATGTTAAGTACCTGGGAGAAAAACTCATTAGCTATATCAATGACAATTACATTTATGTGTTGCCTATGAAATAGGTTGTCGAATTTTGTTACTCAACTCTACCAAAGCTTATGTACTTCCAGCATGTGTGGTGGGTTATTTACAATTCTAAATGGATCTTGTTTATATCACAGAGCACGGGGGCTGACTATAAGCCCTTCACTTTTTCTCAACTATCTAGAAAGAACTTGAAACTACTGTGCAAATGACTCCAACTTCAGATATAGTGTGATTTCTTTTCAGGACTGAGGTAGAATACAAAAAGAAGAGAGACAGGACGTTCCCTAAAATTCAAAGTGAGGGCCTCTCATCCTTCCATTATCCTGAGGAGAAAAACCAATAGATTATGTTTTCATTTTCCTCCCAAGAGCATACTTAGCTGGTACACAATGATGCAGAAGAGAAAATCAGGCTCCCTCATCTTAAAATCCATGACCCTTCTGACTCAGATTCTACTAGTTAAAAGGCAAGAGAGAGATAATCCAGTAGTACACACCTGCCTAAAATGGAGAAAATGTGATGGTAAAGACTCAAAGTTTAAAACAGATCAAATATAGAGGACATTGTGCCCCTCCCCCAAACCTGAAGAGTTCATTTGAGTAGGTCTCCTAGTAGCATTGATTTGCATATTATGTACTACTTGATATAAACTTTTATTTGGGGGGGGCATTGAGTCAGAATCTCCCTGTAGCCCCAACTGGCCTGGAACTCACTGTGTACACCAGGCTGGCCTCCATCTCACAGAGATCCACCTGCCTCTGCTTTCCAAATGCTTGGACTAAAGGTGTGCCAGCACACCCAGCTGATATAAACTTTTAAGGGCTAACTGAAGATCATTCAGAAAGTAAAACACAACATTTTGATATTTTTTGATTTCAATAAGAAAATGATTTAATTATGTACAATTTCCCAGAATTTTTTTCCCACAGCAGTCTACTGTACCACTAAGTAGATCTATTTTTAGTATTTTTGAGGAACCGCCATACTGTTTTCTATAGTAGCTGGATTAGTTTACATCCCCAGTTATACCACTCCTAGGTATTTACCCAAAGGACTCCAAGTCAACATATCACAGCAAGACTTGTACATCAATGTTTATTGCAGCACTATTCACAGTAGCAAAGCTATGGAACAAACCTAGTCTCCAGCAACAGAAGAATAGATAAAGAGAATGTGATACACACACACACACACACACACACACACACACACACTAAGAAGAATTTTTTAGTCTGTAAAGAACAAAGTTATATCATTTGCAGGAAGATGATGCAACTGGAGAGAAGCACACTAAGGGAATTAGCCCGTGTCAGACAAACATGTTTTCTTTCACTTATGGCTCATAGATTCTGTGTATATACATTGAATCATGTGTGTATGACACAAAAGTGGAAGCAAAACTTAGGGAAGAAAAAGGACTGACAGGAAGAGGGTAATAAGGGGGTAATAAGTTCCCAAAGTCTAAATCTAATGGGGAAACGTCTGAATTTACTTGTATTTAGCTCAACTCACAAACATCTACATGAAAACATGGATGAGTCTTTTCATCTCAAGTTTCCACGATCCACCAAATATTATCTGATTTATTTTTAGTGCAAATTTTAGGGAAGTTTTTATGGCCCTTCTATCTTCCAGTACAAACTTAAATTTACTGAGAATCCTAGTATGAAAATTGATGACCAAATTTCTAAATATTATTCTCTTTGTAAATTGCATCTTGAATAAGGGAGTTTGACAGTGGTAGAGTTTATGTATTTAGAAGATTTGAGGGTTTCCATTTTTTTATGTGTGTGAGTGTATTGCCTGTATGTAAGTACACCTGTGTCATGCAGTGCCAATGGAGATCAGAAGAAAGCATCAGATCCCCTGGAACTAGAGTTACGGAGGGTTGTTAGCCACCATATGGGTGCTTAAAATTGAACCCAGGTCCTCTGTAAGAGCAGTCAGTGCTCTTAACTACTGAGCCATCTCTCCAGTCCAACAATTTCCAATTTTAAGATTTTGCTGAAAGAGCATTTAGAATGAGATCAGTAAGAGTGTTACCTTAGTTTTTAATGATAAGTCCTAGAAGCTTTCCCATTTTTTTTGCATGTGATTTTTCATGTTTATCATAGGACTCATACACCATATATTAGATCTCTTAGAATGTTAGTGGATTTCTGAAGCCAGGACAAACAACAAACAACAAAAGTTGCCATAACACTGAAGTACACCCCGGCCTACATGCCTCCGAATTACCTTTACAGTTTACCCAGGATGCTTCAGTATAATTACATGGAGAAATGAGGGTAGAACTTTGGTTCTGAGAGATATTTGAAAATTTAATTACTAAGTTGACAAAGTATTTTAAAGCCTCCAGATAAAAGTAGCCAGAATAGTGGAGAGGAATCACTGTTTGCAGCAATGGACTCCATTGATGATGAGGGATGGAGTGGCTGCTGTTAATTCAAGGCCTGTGTCCCTTTCTCTACACTGGCTCCTTAGTCCCACCTCTACCACCAGCCTCTAGGGAAGAGTAGGAAAGGATCATTTATTCACCTTCTGGCTGCAAGAACTACAGACTGCAACTGTGGCAATTCTAGCACTGAAGAGAAAACACACATAGGAAAAAGAAGGCCATGTCTCACTTCCAAACTAAAAAAAGACATTTCTACATGTTTCCATATCCCGCAGACTGCTGCCATTTGAGGCCAACCCCTCAAAGCCCTCCTCTTTGTCTAGTGGAGCTGCTGAATCTAGGCCACTGTCAGCTGTGCTTTTCATTCACGCAGGCCCATCCGCATGCTTCTCAGATGCAGAGGTTCTCTAGACATGTGTACTGTGGTATCAAACAATGCAACTCATGTTTGATTTTGGATAACCTTGCACTGTTGAATAAAATAACCGTTGAGAAAGAAGCAATAAAAGCTCTGTAAGAAAAATGACTCATGTTTCTAAGCTGTCTACAGTGATCACTTATCCCAACAAATGGTAATTCTTTCAAGACACAGTGGGCATGTACCATACTTATAAAAGTCTGGAAGAAAAGCCTTGCAATTTTTTTAAAATTGTGTTAAAATATATCAAAAGAATATTTCTGGTAGGCTATTCCAGACAGAGTGTGCTTAAAAACAAAAACAAAAACAAAAACCACATGGACATGGGTGTGAAGGTGGATTGGCCCAAAGGGGTCCTTGCTAAGCAGTCAGGCTCATTGGCTTGTTTATGTGCTTGTTTATGTGCCTCTAACTGTTTTCCATTTTCTACCCCCATTTGTTAGAGTGCAAAGATGTGAACAAAGTGGCTTATTGCCCACTGGTGCTCAAGTTCAAGTTCTGTAGTCGAGCATACTTTAGACAGATGTGTTGTAAGACCTGCCAAGGACACTGACCCATGGAAAGCCAGAGAGAATCTTGTCGTTTCATCGTGGAAATGCATCCATCACAGAGAGCCACCCAGAGGAAGAGGACTGATGTCCTTACAAAAGCATTACCCTGTGGAAAACGTAACCACTGGTCAGCCCTAGCTGACAGGATTTCAATATTATTTTAACTTCTGTGAAGTGGGATTTATTGATCCAAAGTGCTGGACACGGTATTAGGAGGGAATGCCAGATTGGAGAGATCCAAACAACACAGGGAGACTTGCTTACTGTGGAACGTTTGTGTTCTTTCGAGTAAATCCGATAGCCTGTTTACCTCCTTGGACCATTAAGATAATTTTTATTATGGACTTAGCAATGACACTGAATCCATTTGTATTTAAGACTGTTTAAAATGTAGTTATTTTGACTTGGTCAACTATGGAAGTAAAGGAGATTCAGAATTCTTAAGTCATAGCTTTAAAATGTTTACTATACTTTATCTCATTACACCAACAGCACCACAATTTAAATTATAAAATGGGCTTTGAACTCTAATTTAAGGAACAATTATAAATCAAAAGTAGTGAAAGTTTGTATTATTTTTCTTTATTCCACTTAATTTCCTTAGGAATAATTCCCTTTTCTGAACACTGCTGTGAGCCATATATAAAACTATATTAAACTGAACAATGAGGGACTTAGTTTAAAGCAGTGCATCAGTTGCTGCAGCTGTGCAAGTCTATAAAGTCAGTGCTAAGAGACTGTGGCCAACTTGCCATTGTGCAAGTGAAGCTGAGATTTCCATTAAAACTTTAAGAGAAAAACATTTCAATCTCATGCAGAAGCCAGACCTGGGGTATGGCAGAGACTGAAGTCCCAGGCCCTTTGCAGCCATCTCATTGAGAGCCTGACTGCTTATGTGAGTCACCCAGGCTCCTTTGTGTTTACATCCCCACCAGCCACAGATCAGCTTCTGCCCTGTTGGATTGTTCAAGCATGTTGAGCTTATGGAGATGGTGCCATGCAAAAGATAGGCAGGCACAGTAACAGCCGGGAGGGCCCTTTTGCGATTTGCTGACAGTACGATGGGTTCCAGATGTCCCTTCTTTGATATGGTAGAAGGGCATTTATTTATATGAGAGCAAGTGTGTGCGTGTGTATATGTGTATATCCAGGCGCTCTCAAGTGTGTGGATAGAGGAGTATGCTTGCACATAAATGTGCTATTTCTGTGAGTTTTAAAGTAGGCAAGGACAACAACCAAAGAAGAAAAGCTCATGAAGACTAGAATTCATAAAGTATAATTTTAATAGTCACTCAACCAAGTATTTTGTATTTTTTATGGATATTTTGAATGACAATTAAATGTGAAACCCAATTTCTTGGGCAAGTCCAATTCTAAAATTCCATTTTCTGAAATTAAAGTGACTAGCTTAAGGTCTTCCCATCGTCAAGCTTCACATCTTGCCATCAAAAGACTCAACAGCTAGGTTTTTAAAGGGTACTTGTTTATATTAATACTTTGTACTTGAACACTTGTAGCTTGTAGCAGGTTCTTGGTGAACATGCTTGGTGCTTTGTTCATGCATGTGCCCCATGCAGACACTACCACCTAAAATGCAATACTACATGGCTACATTTTAAATAGTGTTTTCAGTTAAGAGCATGTCTCACTTTCGTCCATCACTGTGCTCTGAAGCTATACATCGGTGTGTTGCTTATGGTAACCTAAGAAGAATTCAGACACCAAAAACCTCCTAACCTTTCTGCTTACTGTGGACAGCTGGCCAGAAGTTTTCCCACACACTCTCTCATGACCAGCCACATCTCATTCCTTGCTTCTCTTTCAATACCATAGTTTCCATCCCTGGGTTTTCCAGAAAAATCTATTGATGCTACAAGAAATACTGCCAAGAACTCCATCTACTGCCCTTAGAAAGCCCACCCAAGTGCCATTGTAGCCATTCCATGAAGAGGAGGCAGCCCATGGATGCGTGGCCTAGACTTGAATCCCCTTAGTCCTTTTCAAAGGACGGTTAACTTGGTGCTAATGTGCCCTGGTAAAACACATAGACTGGGTGGTTTCTGAGGCATAGGTTTGCTCTCCACATCTGACTTTTACCAACATAAATATCAGCTCGTGTTTTTATTTCAAGATTTCTTACAGTACTGGTAAATAAATGGCTGTATTTTACCTCACCTGAAGCTAACATCACAAGGACTGTCCCCCAGGAACTGTGCAGTACCTGTTTCTGCTGGTGCTAGAGGAAGAAGGCAGCCTGCATTCCCTCCAGGAAGTGCACCAGCACTGAGTGCAGGATACTCCAGTCAGCACAGATTGCTTTGCAAGAGGGTGCTTCCGGGTAGGCCCTGAGTTTAAACCTGAGCAAGTTAAACAAAACAAAAACAAAAGAGGGAAACTCTTTACATTACAAACTCACATTACAATACTGCTGTCACTGTAACCACCCATGTGGCTGCATGAATCTGTATTCTACATGGTAAAAGTAGAATTATCAGCAGAGGCTGGGCCACCCTGGCAGACACTCCAAATGTTGTGAGCTATATTGACTACTTAGGGTATGAAGGTATCCATGGCTGGGAGCAGTATCTGCCACTGGTATGAAGGCCTACCAAAAAATGAAAGGTAAATATATTCAAATGATTGAACCCCTAAAGACACATATGACTTCCAAACAGTCCATTTCATTGGGAACTTCTGTATTTGAGTGAATGTCACATAGGTATCCTTAATAATACAGAACAAAATTACCTTTGTATTATTGTGATTACTTGTTGCTTATTATTTTATACTCAGTATTAATGTGGTACACTGTTACTTTTTTTGCTTTTGTAAATTATATTCTAATTTATTGCCATGTTTCCTAACACTTGTCCTACATTCATTCTCCTGCTTATAATGAAAATGAAAAAGTCATTGTAACACTTGATGGAGTGAAATTTCATACCAGGCACAGATTTTTTTTTAACATAGATAATTCAGTAAAAAATAAAATTTCAGCTTGTAAGAATGATTTGGGTATACATTGTCTGTTCCTGGAAAAGCTTATGTTAAACTTGCAGCAGAAGGAACCCATCCCTTGGGATAGTGTGTACCCAGGTAGTGCCCAGGTGATTATCATAGAATTACCACACTCCTCAGAGATTGCACCTCTTTGAGTGTATTATCCTGAAATAAGGGCAACCATGTCAGCATTTCCTGTGGGACTACACTTGCAGAATAGGCACCAGCCAGCCGCTATTCCATAGCTAGAATGGATAGGCGTCTTCCGCGCACTTTCATTCCCTTGGCACACAACTTTTTTACCCTCCTTTCTTTGGCCCTCTGTAAATTGGTTATTATCTTTGAAGACACCAGATAGTTCACTGTAGAAAGACTACTAAATAATGAACCATACTTGAAGGACTTTTCTATGCAGATTCAATAGGGGGCATAGATGCTGGACACACTTTCTCACCTTCGCCTGAAGATGATGCACAAAGATAACTCGGAAATCTTTTTCATGTACAAGTGACCCTCCTGCACACTCAGCTATTTAATGCTTTCATAACGACAACTGCATTTGTTAAGTAAGAAGACATGATGTCCAGGCATGATGGCGCTTTAGTCTACCACCCCATGCCCTGTATATACACACTCAATATTGCACAATAAAATAAATATGATTGATCCAGGCATGGAAATATATGTCTGTTATCACAGCACTCAGGAGGCAGGGGCAGTAGGCCAGCCTTTTACAGAACAAGACCCTTCTGAGATAAAACAATTAATGAAGTTGAGCCGAATAAGATGATTATATAGTCTTGGGAAAATATTTCCCCCAGGCCTTCCTAGTCCCCAAATGTGTTGAAGCATTGTGAATACTCAATTAATGAAGAGATTATTGGTACTAAATATTTAACCACCAATTTAATTTGCAAACCATAAGTCTTCAAGAATTGGGAAAGACGGAATATCACAGAAGAAGGTTTGCATTAACTTGCATTCCCTTTTTATACACTACTTTCAAGTTTCCCGTGAAATGCTTTTTCTCCTTGTGAGAATCTAAAGGCAACTATCTGAGGTACTGTCTCTAAGAAGATTCAGCTGCTTCCTAAGGAGACCAAGTACCATACCTAAGCCTTTAGAGGCCTAAAGCCCGGGCTTTTGCCAAGTCAATTAAGAAAGTTATGTATTGACCTGAGTAACAAAAATATGGATTCAAATGACCGGCATAAGATTAATTTCTTTTAAAAGAAGGAAAAATAAATTTAATTCAGACAGAAAATAGTCTTAGCCCAGGAGGATTGGAAATTCTAAATTAATGGTCATGGTACAGAGAAAAAAAATCAGTTCCTGGATATAGAGCGACAGATGATCTCTTTGGAACTCTAATTTCTATCATTAGAATGTGTGAAATAACCTAACACAGATATTTTAAAGGAAGAGCTACTCAAAGTCGTTTTGCATTTCAGGTTTTAAAACTCAAGCTTAGACACAAAGGGAAAGTTGTCCACTGTCTCTTTCTCAAAGGGTTATGCCAAGTATTCTTGTTCTTTATTTCTCCCATAAATATCTGAGGCCAGAAACAGAACTCTGGCTTGAGAGAGATGGCTCTACTTGGTGAGGGAAGCCATTATTATACCTGTGTTGATTTTTGATTCATGCCTTCCCTTAGCCCATTGAAAGCCTCAAATTACATATATGATGAGGCTAGTTTCTACCACAATGTCCTGTCTTCATGAAAATGACATAAAGCACTGTACTATCTAATGTCTCTGGTTCTGGACACCAAGGAGCCTAAATATTGCTTTTCACCTCAGGACATAGAACATTATGTCTGACCAGATAAATCTCATTGCCTGGGCTTTATAACTTGTGAAAATCAATCAAGAGGTCACTTTTGGATCTTTTTAGTGCTAGTCAGTTTGAATTGCTATAACAAGTACCTGGAAGAAACAACTTGGAAGGAAGGGAGGGAGGGAGGGAGGGAAGGAGAGAAAGTTAATGTGTTCCGAGGGAGGGAGGGGAGGGGAGGGGAGGGGAGGGGAGAGAAGGGAGATTTATGGCTCATGGTTTCAAAGGATTCAGTCCATGGATCCGTTCCCTTGGTTTCAAGCTTGTAGCAGAGGAAAACACTATAGTGGAAGTATTCTAGTGAAGGAAAGGACTGTTCACCACAAGGCAGCCAGAAGACAGAGAGGGGGAGAGGCCTGGCCTGTGCCCTCAGCAAGGGCAGTTGTGTGTAACAGGTAATCTTTTGAGTTTACACTACTGTGTACACAGTGAATTCCTTCTGGGGCCACTGAAATCCCAAGCAAAGGCAGCAGCATGAAACGCCAGTCTAGAGCACCCCAGGTAAGGTGTGGGCCTGCGTCTGCAGAGCGGCAGCACCAGTCATTCCTTCATCTGATGAAGAGTTATTGAGCACCTATGATGCCCACATCCTGTGCTAGGTACTTAGCATCTCGCTCATTGAATGGGTTATAGCAGAACCAGGAGAACAATACTTCACCTGGCAGTTGCTATCAACTTAGTTCCTAAGGGTCACAGAACTAGTGAGAAGATTGTCATTTCTTGAGCTAGAGGGGGAACCGTCTGGCCTAGATCTGGAAGGAAACTGGGGAGGATGCCCATAGATCAGAGATAAACCAACTCACCAGGCCAGAAGAAATGGGTTTCTAGAAAACTTGGTCTGAGGCCTTGGGAAGGACCTCAGGATCAGAGAAGGGGGAGCTTTAGGCTTCATATCTTCATATGATGGGTCCTGGTGTTTGGGACAGAAATTCAGTGTCTGATGACAAAATTAGAAGAAGTGAGGATCCAAAGTGGTTTCTAAGCATGTAGTTAAAGTTCGTTGGAAGAGGAAGAAAGGGAGGTCAGATCCAGTCTACGATGAAAGATGTCAGCCACCACCATCTGCAGCCTAACCCTTACACAAGGGCACATTCACCTCCCCTGGAAAGTCTTGTTGTAAATCATGAAGCCCATCCCTGCCTGACAGAGCCCTCCCCACCCCCAACATTTCCAGGCATAGCAAACAGCCTTGCTGACCTGTTTCAACATAGCTGGAGCAGAATGGTTCCCAGGTTGGCTTCAGGGTAAGTTTTAACAAAGAAAAGGGGGGCGGGGTCTCTGTTTCAGTCAGAGATGGGCCGTTGAGACCTGAAAATGTAGTCCATCAGGTTGCCGCCAGTAAGAACATTCTTTGACCTTCTGTGGTAGGTCCACAGAGTGGAACCAGGTGTTCTTTTAGCCCATGCCAGAATGTACTGGCGGCCCGACTGGCCTCCTCCCTCCACCCCATGATGGGCTTTGTCTGGCCCTCTACCAAACAGCTGTTCTGGGAGCCACAGGTGGCCGCCCACGTTTGTGCCCAGCCAGCAGCTGCATTAGCCTGACTCAACCTGGCAAGATGTGTGGTTCTGCCCCTCTGCCCCAGCTTCTCCCAGGGCCAGGTTACTCAGGGGCCTAGGGAGAAAGAAAGCCAAAGCGTAATTAAATATTCTCATAAACCTGTTTGTGGCCCAAAGGCAACCAAAGTACATAGTACACTCTTCCTCTTCCTCCAGTATAATCAAGAGTGGTATGTTTAAATATCATTCAAATTAATCTGATATAAATAGATAGAACTTCAGTTCCTGTGCGTTGTATGTTTTAGTGACAGAATTAAACTTCATTTCCTGGTGCTATGCATGTATGATTAATATGAAGATGAAGGTCAGTGACATCTCCAGCTTCAAAAAAGGTATTAGGGAGGCATTCTAGAAGTCTCCATGATAACAGCAAAGAAGAGCACATTGGACAGGCAGAAAACAACCACAGAAGGGGCTAAACTGTATAGTATTTGCAGAGCAAAAAATTGGGGTAAAAGTAATCATAGCTAAACTACTAGGAGTAAAAAATGATTTAGTTCATAGTTGTAAACTTAAGAACTTAAAGGACCAATAAGATGGCTTGGTGGATAAAGGCACTTCTAGCCAAACCTGACCACCTGAGTTCCATCCCCAGAATCCACATGGTGGAAGGAGAGAGAGAACTGACTCCTTCAAGTTGTCCTCTGACCTTCACATGAGCACCATGCCATGAACACGCACACACGCGCGCACACACACACACACACACACAAATAAATAAATACATGTAAAAAAAACTTTAAAAACCTTTAAACCATAAAATAACAAAATCAAGAAATTGAATATTTTGAGATCATTATTTTAAGAACCAAATCTTAAGACTGTAAGATGGGATGGAAGAAAATATAAAGCATCATTCCATTTATATAGAGCCAGAACAAAATGAACAATATCTTGTATACTTAAAAGAAAACAAAGAGTCCGTGTGCTGAAATATGCCTGAAGGTGGTAACTGGGCAACACATGTGGACTTGCAACGTTGCTGGATGCAGATTGGGCCAGGAAGACACACTTAGGGCCTAAGTCTTCATCAATGCAGGATGGTCCCACTGAAGGGAAGAGGTGGGACCCACTGTTTTAATCATTCATTTAATCCCAATCGCAGAAATTATTTGTACAAACTATTCCCTATCGCTGGCATTTAAAATTACCATGCTGGAACTGAACTACTCAAATGACTACTGTTCCTGCCTATGTCACCCCCTAGAGAACACTCTGCACTCATTTTAACAGTAAAATAAAAATTCAAATAGTTTTAAATTTGCTTCTGAAGTTATCTCCCAGGTAGGATGGATTAGCTTTTTTAAAAAGCCCAAACTCACCAAACACAAATCTGGTGATTAATTTGCATATAAAACTTTTGGTCAAAAATAGCTTGCGTTTTGTACAAACTGATACTGTAAATGAGACTTCAAATGTGCTTTGAATAAGCAATGACTTTGAGGGTTTCACTCATTTCTATATGAAAACACCAGTATTTTTGTATAAAAATCACTAACATTGCTTCCTAGTCCATGTACAATTCATATGCCGAACACTTTACTTGCTATTTCCAATTCTCAATTAGGTGGGAACCTGGACCACCTAAATCATGTTATCTCTCAAAGTGAGGAAAGAT